GTGTATTTGAGAGTTGTTGAGAATAATCCCCCAAAAAGTTGCTTTTTTGGCAATAGTGAAACAGCAAGTAGTCCAAAAGTATAGTCGATCAAGAAACGAAAGGAGAACTCACCTGTTGATATACTTGAGCTTCAGCATAGAACGAAGCAAATATCAAGAAGGGAAGAGCATAAAGAGAATAATATCGTTCGAAAGACATCCTCTTGATGTTAATAATCGTCTAGATCATACTTCGCACCTCCTTAAACGAAACATTGTCGAAATTCCGAAACGATGTACTTAAATATACGGACATCACATAAAATTGAGTAATAGCCGCAGTTAATGGCCCATAAATCAATGGAGCGCTCAGTCGGTTTAGCCCGCCCCTTGGCCAGCCGCCAACACGCCCTCTTTGCTATCGTGGCGGGACCACCAGGACACTTTCGCGAAATTGCAGACTTAAGAAGGTCTCGTAGGAATTAATTTCGTTCTTGTTCGTACTGTTGGCAATGTTCGCACTTGTTTGGAATAGTATACGACCTGGAATATGAGGGTGGTTATTATTTTCTTTTTTGGTCTTGGTCGAAACTGTCAAGTTCCCGTTTGCTTCTTACAGCTTTTGTGAGGGAACAGAACGTGATTGTTTGCTATTTTTAAGCTATTCCAGCAGGATTTAAACACTCGGTAGAGGGGAGCCAATCGCTAAGTGCGAAAAAATACTCCACCCTCACGGTAGTCATAGTTTTGTCCACCCTAACTCCCTAACTTGTTGGAACACCGCACAAAACCTTCAAAAGTTATTGTAGCATCAGTGGTGAGCACTACATTTTTACCTTTCTGAGCTCTAATATCCTGTGAATTTTTCAGGTAATGGAAGCATAGCCTTTACATGAAGCGCTGCCTATTTGAAGTAAATAACGATTTTTGAGGTAATCGAAACTTCGCGATGCCTGCTACTGCTGAGCAGAAGCCCTCAACGCAGCTGACTGAACACCGGAAAGGTGAGCTTGTTTAATTACTAACTCATTTCTACTGCAGTTGTTTTCCTGTGAGTGTGGGAATGGTGTAATGGCAAGTGGTGGTCTAATCCCGGAGTGGCTGCCGCCCGGGCATGCAAGTTTCTCAGCTTTTTCTGACCAGCAAAACCACATCAGGCTTGTATGGAGGGGAAAAAACACTGGCTTATTCACTAGCCCCGTGAGCCATTGCATTGTCATTGTAGGTCACATCGCTTTTTCTGATCAAAGTCATAATTGCACTCATGGTGTCCAAAACTGATTAATCAATAGAGAAGCTTCATCATTTTGTCCTCCCTGTAACGGACGAACGTGGTCTAGGGGGAAGTGGCGCTGCTCACTGAGGATCAAGGTTCGGGTTACAATCTGACTCTCTCGCGAGAGAATTTGGTCCTCAGTGAGTGGCGCCACTTTCTATTAGACGTAGCATCGACTAGTTGAGCACGCGGAAATAAGGAAGAGAGAAAAGAGAAGGAAGGGAAATAAGGAAGGAGGAAGAAAAAAAAATGGAGGAGGAAGGCCGCGGTTGACAGAATCCTGAAGCGCAGTTCTCGGTTCAGCTACTGTTACGCCAACAGCGCTCTTATTTATCAAGGCAGAGGATGTTCCGGCAAGCAATTGTATGGGCTAAATCGCTTTCAAGTGCACTGTGATTCTGAAAAGGAGAAGGATACGCGGGGCAATCTTAATGGATAAAAGGGCACACAAAAGTGTTACGAATTCGCGCTGGTACAAACCCCGAGGTAGTCAGTATTTGTGTAAATACTGATGAAATGTTCGTATCGCAGGATCAAAGGTCTAGCTGCCAGTTCCTCAGCTCACTTGGTTCTAGTCAGATTGCAATCCATTCAACGTATAATAGCGGTAAAACTGTCTTTGGTAGTTCATCCAAGAAAATGGTGATAGCCAGCCGATGTACAAGTCAGTGTTCTTATCCTTCCAGACGAATCTGGTACCGGTTTACCGTCCCAGGGGGTTTAAGGCTTAGTCGGTCTGGACAGGATCCAATTTGATCCCTGGATCGCGCGCCTGGTAAGCATGCCACTTGCCGCTACACCCAAATTCGCCTTGAAGGAATTATATGAGAAATGGGTTTTCTCATCTATAGGTAAAGTACTTAACGTCAGTTTGCAACGAAATTTAAAAAAAAATTAGGGCTCCGATATAGTTTGTTACAGACTGGCTGTTCGCTGGATTGGTTGCATTGGCACACGCCTTTTTGGTGACGGTGGTATATCATTATGTTCCAGAGCCTTACATGGACGAGATCTTCCATGTTCGACAGACAAGAAAGTAACCGTTTACTAGCTATCTGTAGCGGTTGTTTCGTTCAGATTCATCTCCGCTGATCTATCACACGTTCTAGCCATCTTATGGAGAATATCGTCTATTTAGATACTGTTCTGGCAACTGGAGTTGGGATCCTATGATTACCACACCACCGGCTCTTTACGTTTTGGGAATTCCATTTTGTTATTTTGAAAGGTACACAAATAGTGTACTCATCGCGATTACATTCGCGGGTTTCTGCCGTTTCCGAAGACTCTTTCACAGAGATGCTATACACTCATCGGCCACTGCCGTTATTCTGTTTCCGGTACGTTGAGTCTGTTTGAATTATTTCTTTTGTTCTGGAGAATGGATCTTGGGCCTGCGGACTTTGTTGCTAAGAAGAAGGGAGGGGGGAGGTAAAAAAAGAATTCGTTTCTTTTTTGTTTTCCCTATAGTTGAAAAAAAAGAGCGTAAGCGAGGGGTCTCTTTACTTGATGAGTTCTCTTAAAAAGAGCACATGCGAAGTGGGAGACATCTTTTTTCCTCTTCTGGGCTTTTCTGATATCTTTTGCCAATTGGACTACTTATTTCTTTAATTCAATGCCTGGAGGTTGAATAGCTCCTAAAGCTCCAAATTTGAAATTCATCGGTAAGCTTCGCCAGCTTAATAGTTAAGGCCAGAAGCCCTCCAGCTAACTTCAGAGCAGGGGCTTCAAAGCGCTACTCAGCACAGAACTGGATGAATCTCACTATCAGAGATAGCATCAACTTCATCGTCAATGGCTAATAATATAGTTTTTTTTTTCGTTTTAAGCGCTCACTGGTTTGGAAAGTTCCCAGCACCTAGAAAGGGCGATCAGTCTTAAACTTGGCCTTAGTTGTAAATGTGATTGACATTTACAGGTGCTACTTCACTCTTCTGTGCTGTTCTACACAGATTTGCTCTCAGTATGTGCTGTCATTTGGGGTTTTACATTGGACTCGCCGCTACTGTCGTCGCTCGCATTCGCAGTAGGTGTTCTTACTCGTCAGACGAATATTGTTTGGGCGGGATTCTGTGCATGTGTCCGTCTCGTTCGTGATGTTAACATGTCTCGTCCTATTTCTGGAGTTATTTCATCTTTTGTGAGGCTTTCCTCATTCATTTTTCTCGCTTTTTCTTTTGTTCTTTTCGTGTATATAAATGGAGGAATTGTTTTGGGTGATGCCTCGGCGCACCAACCACGTTTGCATCTCGCGCAGTTTCTCTACCTAAGCTTGTTCTCAGCTGTACATGCTTGGCCTCACGCTATTCCTCGACTTCGTAGCTTGCTCTCCAAAGTTGTGCACCCGCTTTCAGCTTTACTGGTTGTTTCCAGTCGCTTTATCAGCTCATTACTTTGCATTTGACCACCCATATCTCTTGGCCGACAATCGACATGTGACATTCTATCTGTGGCGGTGGTGGCTTCGAGTTCCTGCTCGTCGCGTACTTTTAACTCCTCTGTTCGTTGGCTCTTTCATATACATACGTGATCTCAGCAATCATGTCTCGCCCCTTGTACGCATACTTTTTGTCTTGTGTTCCTTTGCTGTGGTCGTACCAGCTCATCTGATAGAACCCCGTTATTTCATTATACCCTACGTTCTGTGGAGGTTATCAGCAAAGATAACTTTGAATAGAGTGCTTGTTACGATTGAGATTCTATCGCAATTGTATGTCTTTTCATCGATTTATTCGCTATTCCTTTTCGTACCTTTCGAATGGGCTAATGAGCCTGGGGTTAAACAGCGTTTCATGTGGTAATCATGAAGCGACGCTTGGTTCCATTCATACTTTGCGAATTTTGGAGATTCGGGAAAAGCTGCGATTGGACGTTGGTAAGTGGGGCCAATCGATTCTCATTCAATCCATCAAGGTGCAGTTGAGAAGATCTGACAACCCCATCGCGCATGAACCAAGCAGTGTTCCTTGCTAGTTGACTCGATGTAGCACTTTGGCGTCTAATGACAACTTACGTTCTACTTTTCGTGGAAAAATCGTCAGTCGATCTAGAGTTTTCCTTTGTTTTGAGTTTTAAAAGTCACCACTTTTAGATGGAATCGTAAAATGGATGGCATGGAACGTAGCCATGACCTGATTTATGGCCAAAATGTGTTGTCGAGTCAACTAGCTAGTTTGCTTGCGATGCTGCGACACGGCTCTGTCAAACCGCATCCTTGTTACGGATTGTCCCAAATTTCTGTATATCCACATTCGCAAGGTAGGAATGGAGCTTAATTTTCCCTGCTATGGGGATTCGAGAATGGGTTATATTGCACTTCATCATTTTCAACCGTTTTTTTTTGTTCCGCCTTCCAGATTGCGCCCATCCTATGGTATTTTTTGGCAGGTTCTAGTCTGATTATGCGCTGTTATAGTGCATTCATAGTTTGCGGCAGCGTTTTGAAGGTCCACCATCGTGTTCGGCGTCCGTCAGCGTTTTCAGCTATGTTCGGTAGCTACACTTTCTTACACCGCGTTCAGACTTCGCGATCGCGCGATTGGTTCGCTCGACAGGATCGCGCCACCACGACCGGGGGCAATACGCTGCCAAACGGCGCACCGCTGCAACGGTACAGTTCAAATTGGCATTGTATGTATGCCCAAGTTGAGTTCTGCCGCTGGGCGGCGCACCGCTTGGGGATGGAGCGCCGCGGTCGTAGTTGCGCGGTTCAGTCGAGCGATCGCAGTCTGAAAGCGCGGTGTTAGTCGCCAGAAACGCCGGCGAACGTTCAAAATCCGGGACGGCTTCCCATTTATCCTTGTCGCTGAAAACGTTTGCAGACGCTCAAAACGCTGGACTGACACCTAAAGTTTCCTTGTGCTCGAAACGCTCAAATCGCTGACGGACGCTGAAAACGCTGCCACAAGGTGTGAACACACTCTTATGGCTTGTTATTTATTCTAGTGAATTTCTCCTGATAATCCCAATATTTTTGAACGGGTTTTTGGTTGGCATCACTGCTGTGTTGATAGTTAATTATGTTGAAACACCGTAATACTGAATAAAAAGGTATCTTATTAAAGGATCAGTAAATGAATAAAATCTACAAGCTGACAAGACACTTTGGCGAGATAGGTGAAAAGGCAAGACAACAGTGAGCGACGAGACACACATAATTGTGACAATGATGATGATGGAGATGATACACGGATACACACGATAAAAGCACCGATCGAAGTGAGACAATTCAAAATGCTAATCGAATAAGAAATGACGTCATTACTAGGGGAAATGCCATATATGAGAAAGAAAATAACGACAACGAAGTACAAAACGATTACAGTACTATATGGTAACGATATCATGCTGTTTGAGTGAAATATAGTGATGACGACATGAAATGGACTGCAAAATGATAAGACAGAGATAATGATGATATTGATTATGATAAATGGACGAAAGATACAGGTAAAGCTAGTACGTACAATGACAACGACGACGAAAAAAAATGGCTTAAAGTGCCGCGTATTCACCCATTAGAATAATGCTGCGCGTATTATGCTCTATAGTTGTGATAACGATGATCCATATTGAAGAGGGAATGGACTGAGGATATTTCCCACGCCCTTTCCCTTCTCAGCAAGATCCAGGCTTATCCCGTCATTCATATGGAATACAAAGAAACATCAAACAGACAAGAATGTGAGTGTCTAATGAAATAAGATAATAATATCATCATGGAATGGCTTCAACGGGGGATGATATGGCCGGAAAGCATTGTACGGCACCAATATTATCTGTACTAAGCTATAAAATAAAATATGTTGTAATACAAAATGTCAGTGGGAATTGACAAACAATTTGAGTCAGAGATACATGGTCATTCTAATACACAACAATATAACAAACAATTCAGAAAGACATTCACAAAGAGAAAACACTAACTTTAGGTGAGAACATAACAAACGACGGCATGATCTACCGTAATAAGGCGTTCATCATGTGTAATGAGATATCTGATCTACTAATGCATCTATCGATGCTAAACTCGCCGCTTTTGAACCATGACACATGTGCCGTTGTGCTTGTGGCATCGTTTCAGGACAGTGAATCGGATGGTAGATATGAACCAATCCAGGCTCGGGAGATCGAATAACTCGAAGTGTGCGTGATTTCACTACCTGAATTGAACAAAGTAGGCTAAGCTAGTATTAATAGGAAGTTTCTCAATATTCATGGAGTATCTTATTCCAACTCAAACTTGAAAAAAAACAGGAGAACGTTGCTGTTGTTAAATACTTCTGCCAAACGAGGTTTTAGATGGAACCTTTTATTGGCCTAACGTTTCGACCTTCTCGTCTTCTTCAGAGGCCTGAAAATGGCTCGAAGCTTTTAATTTGTTCACCTACCTGATCGACCAAACGCCCTCCCCACTCTAGCGTTTCCGACCTCGTGTCCCGATCGCTCCCGAACTACCTAGTGATAACTGCGAACAACTCATCGAAGTGCGGAGACAACCTAGCTCACGCTGGGTGTTAGTAAGACTACTGAGGGCGAATGAGTCTCACTTCAGTCTCATCGTGTCGCACAAGTCAAAATTGTCGCAGCACACGTAGCCCTTTCTGTAACTCGCACTCTGATACAGACAATGTAATTTGTAACGTACGTATATGTCATATAAATACCTGTGTCAATTACAAATGAATTCCTGCCGTTTGTATCAGAGTGCGAGCTACAGTAAGGACTACGTGCGCTATGACAATTTTGACTTATGCGACACAATGAGACTCAAGTGAGTCTCATTCGTCCTTACTAGTCTTACTGACACACAGCGTAAGCTAGGTAGGCTCTGCACTTCGTTGAGTTGTTCGCAGTTGTTCCTCGGTACTTCGGAAACGATCGGGACACGAGGTCGGAAACGCTAGTGGGGAGGGCGCTTGGTCGGCCAAATTGAAGCTTCGAGCCATTTTCAGGCCTCTGAAGAAGACGAGAAGGTCGAAACGTTAGGCCAATCAAAAGTTCCATCTAATAACCTCGGCAGAAGGCAGACATTCGACATCATGCCGAGGTTACAACAAGGGACAACGTGGAGATTCCTGCTGCTAACCCATTGCGTACCACGTGCTACACCATGTGCAGCACGCCCGTTTGCATCTGTATGGCCGCGTGCTACACATGGTGCAGCACGCTTCGTTTAAACTTATTTAGTTCAGTTACTCGAGAGTGT